CCATATTGGGACGTCGGCGGGCTCGTTCATTCTCCCCCCCTCCCTGTTCCCCCCTTCCTTTTTTTTTCTTGTTTTTATGCAAAAAGCTGTACTTTGAACTATTTTCTAAAGGCACATCATGTCAACCCAGTGTCTTCCACCTTCAACTCTCCCCTGTACTTGTTTTTTTCCCTTTATTTTTTCTTCTTTTTTTTCTTTTTTTTCTTTTTCTTCTTTTCTTTTCAAAGGACAGACCTCTCCCCTTTACCCTTTTTCAGCAGCCTCCATCAATCTGGCTTCACACAGCGATAGCTTTCCGAACCTGGAAATAAAACCACACCCCCCTTCAAGCCCTCGTGCACGTCCAAATCGTCGAATATTCGCTCCCAGTGATTCGGAGATGGTAATCCGCAGCAGATCTACTTTCACTGTGCTTGGTATCCCCACAACCGTTACATGCGGATGAAGGCAACCGTGCCGTCCCTCTGTGCGTTCGGATGAAGCCACCTGTGCCCTCCCTCCGTGATGTGCGCACCAGAATGACGAAGGTGTGTGGCGTCTCCATGGCGACGACCGTTTCCACTTTCTTTTTCGGTCTTCTTCTGCCTCCGCCAATTCAAGCAAAAGTGGACATAGCGATGGCAAGCTCCGAACATTCAGTACGTCGACAACGGACCAGGAACATCACGCGCGGCGTCATGCACCATTGTCACCACTGAAAAATGATCAGAAACATCGCGCACAAACTTCAAAGAACAAAAAATAGTCAGTTCAGTACGAGATCCAACGTCTTGTCTTGCGTGGCTTCACTCGCTAAAGTCAGGCCTTCGGCTTTCGCCCGCTTCGTGTGCGGAGGATATGCTTGGCTCGAGGTCTAGTGTGGGCCGGTTCGAATCCGCGTGCTGTCATGCGGAGGGATCCGAGGCTGCGGAAGTACTGGTCTCATATGATCTGGTCTGGTCTGTTCTGAGGATACTTGACCAGGTTCACAACTTGTGATACACCATATTGGATATACCCACACGTGCTGGGCAAGAACACTTGCGCCATCATCTGTGACCGAAGCTGTGACTACCGAAGCTGTGACCACGGAAGCTGTGACCCAAGCTGTGACCCAAGCTGTGACCCAAGCTGTGATCCCCGCGTATTCAGTTTGTGGGTGTCTGCTCGCGGAGAGATCGCCGTGCGTTCAATTTCTGGGTGTCAGCTTGCGGGACGATCCCTGTGTGTTCGTTTTTTTTCCTGGGTGTCGGCTCGCGGAAGGACTCTGCTTCAGAAGAAGAAATGCTTAAACCACAAGTACCTCTGTGCCTCTTCTTCCCGACCCGGACTCCTGCTGTGCACCAGATGTAGAAAAAAACAGTGGAACCGGTGCAGCGCAAAGCTTGTTCTTTTCGACTGGCCCCCGGCAGCCAAATAGGTCCATGGCCGACTGAGCCCCCCGAACATCGTGGATCTATACAATTGCATCAGGAGCAAAATGGTTGGAGGGGAGGGGGGTTTGTGCAAGGGAGGGAAACACGCTCTGCTCAATCGACCTTGTGTGCTGGCTGTTTGTGCAGTTGAATCAAATCAACTTTTGAACGCTTCCCCCCCCTCCCCTTTCCGCCACAACAATGAATCTCCACACTCCGCTCACCTGTGCAGCCATGGAGGCATCCACCAGGTCGGCCGCCAACAAGGCAGGAGGGGAGAGGGTCCTGAAAAATGCAAAAACCAGCTTGTTAGAGCAAAAGACCTGGGCACAGCAGAAAAGGGGCTTGCATAACGGAGCAATTACGTAAGGATCGAAAGAGAGAGAGAATAGTCCTGCCCCTGCTTGATTGGCCCACACTCATGGATGCTGCGATAGGATGCGTGGAGTCTTTTTGGCACAGCAGAAAAGGGGGGGCTTGCCCAATGGAGCAACTACATCGGGATCGAAGGGGAGAGAGCATACTCATGGCCCTGCTTGCTTGTTTGGCCCACACTCATGGATGCTGCGATATGATGCATCGATTACAATAAATATGTAAACACCGTTGAATACACCCTGATATATCAAGAAGAGTTAGGTCCGGCCTGACATCCGCTCTACGATCTAACTCCGGGTAGAAGTTCGGCCGGCAGTTCCGATGCGACTGCATCCCCGATCGGCGATCACCTTTTTCCTTGTCCCGTCGGAACGCCCGCGCATTTGCTCAGCTTTTACCATCTGCGAGCGCTGAGAGCCTTTTCCTTGTTACTACGCCTCATGAGCTCAAGGTCCGATCTGACGTATCAGCTCTATGTTCTGACGCCTCGTAAAGTTCTGCAGTTCAGATGCAACCGCCCCAAGCCACTGCGCACCCTCATGATAGAGAAGGCAGATCAGGTAAGACACCCACCCGCCACAACTACGACGATCGCAACGACTGCCACAACTGCGACAATCACGATGACTGCCACAACTGTGACGATCACGACGACTGCCACAACTGCAACGATCACGATGACTGCCTCAACCAACTGCGACAACTGCCTCAAACTGGGACGATCGCAACAACTCCCACAACTTCGACTTGCGTTGTACGACTGCCACAACTGCGACAATCACGACGACTGCCACAACTGCGACGATCACGACGACTGCCACAGCTGCAACGATCGCGATGACTGCCTCAACCAACTGCGACAACTGCCTCAAACTGGGACGATCGCAACAACTCCCACAACTTCGACTTGCGGTGTACGACCAAGCACTGTCCCTTCGAGCCAACTGGAAGTACACCTCATGCTGAATTTGCAAAGCTGTCGTACATCAGAGAAACACACTTGAAAAGCAGGATTTGGCAGCATGCCCTGGTAGGTTCCACAGATGCCGATAGGATTTGGCAGCTTGCTGGGAGGATCGTGCCGCAGACTCAAACAACTGCGACTCGACTTGCATTTGTTGGACCGAGCACTGCCCCTTTGAGCCAACTGGAAATATATAGACCTTATGCCGATTCGTGAAGCTGTTGTTGGTCAGAGGAACACAGTTGAAAAGCGGGATTGGGCAGATTGCCACGGTAATGGCCGTGCGATAGGATTCCGCAGGTACCGATCGGACTTCCGGCATGCTGGAAGTCCAGGAGGAGATGAAATGAAGAAACAGCGTAGGGGCCAGCTAGCTGATGCTCTATTATAGATCGAAGACGAGACCATCCCCCATTACAACGATTGGTTACTTGGTCGTTTGCTCCCCTCTCTCTGCATATGCTCGATGCCCTGGCTATCTCTAAACACCCGTTGCTCACAACACGATTCAACAAGAATCGAGAATCAACCGGTGTGATCAGAGGCAGAGTTCATTAATAAGTCTTCTGGACACAATACAAGCTGATCAGATCAGCAAAAGAGTGGGTGGGGGACGCTGTACACAAACGAAGCATAGGATGGAAAGCCCAAGATCCACTCTATGAGAGAGAGGGCTTTCAGAAGGCCGTAAAGTGTCAACTCGCCCCCTTCCTACAATTCGAGAAACACAGCATGATGATGTAAAATACAACCCAAGTTTCAGTCCATGAAAGGGCTTTCAGAAGGCCATAGCCCCATCTCGATGATTTGAGAAACATAGGATGTCACATTTACAGTGGCAGAAGAAACTTCAAACTGCAAAGGCCACCAATTGCCTGCAAGTGTGTGGTCACACTTGCTGAGAGAGAGAGAGAGAGAGAGAGAGAGAGAGAGAGAGAGAGAGAGAGAGAGAGAGAGAGAGAGAGAGAGAGAGAGAGAGAGAGAGAGAG